TCCTTCCTTCCTTCCTTCCTTCCTTCCTTCCTTCCTTCCTTCCTTCCCTTCTCTCCTTCCCTTCTCTCCCTCCCGCCTTCCTTCACTCACTTACTCCTTTCCTCCCCTTCCTTTCCCTCCCTCCTTCTCTTCCTCCCTCCCCCTTCTTCCTTTTTTCCTTCCTCCCTCCCTCCCTCCACTCCTTTCTTCCCTCCCTCCCTCCCTTTCAAATTCCGAGTTTTGATGTCCACACATCTTAAAGTTGCCAAGGTTGGCCTAGATTGTGCGGAGCTGCCTTTGATTTCTCTGTCCTGCCGGGAATGCTGGGACTTATTTCGGGCACAGAAATTCATCCCAGGTAAATTGACAGAGGTCCCTCCCGAGGGGAAATCACATTTTTTGGTGTTTCCTTAGCTGAGGCAAATTTTAAGGCAGGTGGACCTCAACTCCCAGAATTCCCCAGCCAGACAAACACCGACATATTTAATACCGGGCCATGGGTGACCCAGTCTGTGAGAACTTCTGCAAAAATGAATAGCTGAATCTTCCTTCTTCAGAGTCAGGCGCTTGGACTTAAAATCTTAAAATCTCACTCCGTGCAGGAAATGGTTTCTCAGCCTTGGCAATTTTAAGATGTATATCGAATACGTCAACATTGTGAAAACCTCTCGTCTCTTTTTTTTTGCATTTTAAAAAACCTTTTCCTCCTGCAGATTAAATATGGTGACACGGCTACCTCGGAGGGGATTTTATTCGCCACTTATTCCGCCTTGATCGGAGAAAGCCAAGCGGGCGGCCAGCATAGGACCAGGTTGAACCAGATCCTGGATTGGTGCAAGGACGATTTTGATGGTGTTGTATCCTAACAGAAATAAACCATCCGGCCCCGGTACATTTTGGGGCTTTGGGTTAATACAGAGACGGTGGGTAGCTCTCGACTTACAACCATTCATTTAGTGACTATTCGAAGTTCCAACGGCACTGAAAAAAGTGGCCCGTGACCATTTTTCTCACTTAATGACCGTTGTAGCATCCACGCGGTCACATGATCAAAAGTCAGGTGCTTAGCAACTGGCTCATATCTATGATGTCCCTTTTGCGACTGTCTGGCAAGCAAAGCCAATGGGGAAGTCAGATTCACTTAACAACCAGGTTGCTAACTTAAAAACTACAGCGACTCACTTAACAATGGTGGCAAGAAAGATCGTAAAACAGGGCAAAACTCACTTAACTGCCTCGCTTAGCAGCAGAAATTTTGGGCTCAATGGTGGTTGTAAGTTAAAGACTATCTATATTTTGGCCCTCCTTTTAGCAGCCTGCGGATTATAATTGTTGGATTTCTTGAGTGCTTTAATTTTTCTTACTGCTCTGCAACCGGGGATCGTTTTCTCCCTCCCCAACTCAAATCGGGCTATTCTGGGTAGATCTTCATTTGTGTTCTTGTGGTTGCCATCTTGATTCTTTTGACCCCACCTGCAGACAACCCTGCCCAGGGTCACAATGGGCTCTCCCCCCCCCTTGCCTTCAGAACTGTTTTCCTTTGTCGTACACGCCGCCCCCCTCTGTCTGTCTACCAGGATCCCTCCGCCCTTTTAAAATTGTTTCCCCTTAACAAGCCTCCCGCTCTCAGATCGTGTTCGACGAATGCCACAAAGCCAAAAATGCCAGCTCTACCAAGATGGGCAAAGCAGTATTGGACCTGCAGAAAAACCTGCCTCAAGCGAGGGTCGTCTACGCCAGTGCCACAGGTGAGTGATGTGCATCGCGCTGAGCACATTTGCAGGGAGGAGTCTTATCAGCCAGAGAATCCACTCTGGGCAGTTCCAAATCAAGACGCATTGACACTTGGGGGGCGGGGGGGGGTAGACTATTTCCGGACATTGAAGCTCCAGTCCCTGCCAGGGCATCATGAACCCAGCTGGAGAAGGGCAGCCTCACCCAGCGCTTCGCTTCCATGCCAGCTTCCTTTTCCCCCAAGTTTGCGTAGACAGGCTAGCTCTGAACATCTGTTTCTGGGGAACAAAGGATGTTGTCTATAGACTTCCCAGAAACTGTGACACGTTTCTTTATTCCGGACCATGTGGGAGGGGTGTGGTTCTAAAAATGGTGAAAAGACAAAAGGGAAGGGTGAGAGAGAGGAAAACGGACCTGAAGTTAGGAGGGGATAAGACAGACAGACAGACAGACAGACAGACAGACAGTAAGATTGATAGTAAAATTGATCGATAGTAAGATGGATGGATGGGTAGATAGATAGCTGAATCTCAAAGTTTAGATAGATAGATAGATAGATAGATAGATAGATAGATAGATAGATAGAT